CATTGTTAATAGTCCTATTATGGCACTTGTTACAGGTTTAACAGTCCCAACTGAGCTGAGCAAGAACAGGGAGAAGCCCCATGTTAGTAGCCCTAACAACACAATGCCCAACCCTAGAAAGGGATTAATTCCTGTTTACTAAATTAACACTTACCACATACTTTTTCAAAGTAAACAAAAATCGAGTTTAAAGTTAGAACAGTTACATGTTTAGCTGGTCAACCTAAGTCTATAATCAATGTGGCAGATAGACTTTAGGTTGCCCACACCGATCCTTGCCTCCTGATATTTACCCCTTTCTGTCCTGAGTGTGAACAGGACTGGTGACTTGCTTCTAACCAATAGAAGACAGCCAAGGCGATGGGCTGTATGTGACCACATGTACATATTTACATAAGAGTGCAGCACCTGCTAGGTGCTCTCCTTTGTGGGTTTTGAAGAAGCAAGCGGTCCTGAGCTTTAAAACCATGAGGAAATGAATTCTACCAACAACCTGAGGGAAGGAGGGAGCTTGGAAGCAGACCCTATCCCTAATGAGATAACAACCCAGTTTTGACCAACACCTTGGTTACATTCTTGCAGAGAACCCAAGTTAAGCTGCACCCAAACTCCTGATGCCATAACTATGAGATAGTAAGTATGTGCTGTTTTAGGCAGCTAAATCTGAAGTACACAAACTAACACAATGAAGAACCTAGGGTATTTCTGAACCTTTTGTTCACACAAAGGGCATGTTTTCCCCAATTTATAAACTGTAAAATAAGTTTAAAACAAACTTAATTCATTAGTTAATACTAGTCAAGTACATGCAAAATTAAAACATTTATGAAGTACTTTGCTACATAAAGGGTTCCTACACTTCTCTTTTAACCCATTTGTACATATAAAGAGTATATGAAACATGTATAACATTAATGCAATTCTCCTTTTAGACACAAGCTGGTATCTAATTAATGGTACTGGTAACCTGAAAATAAGAACCAGGCAAAACAATCAAATTGAAGGGGCTGGAGGACTTGCTGGAGACACGATCTGTTGGTAAAACAGCAGAACTTAGTGGCTTAGCCATCAGCAAAGCATCAAAGGTACTTAGGTCAGGAAGCTCTCATCAGATGATGCCCAGTGCAACACAGACCACTCCCCTCCAGCCCACCATCCACCTTGCAGTGTTTTGAAAGAAAAGTTTCAAAACACTCCCAAAGCACAAACTTCCTTGACAGAGTCCACACTTTAGCACTCACACAAAAAAGCATATAACACAAGGTATCTCCTATAGTGTTTAAAGTGAGAAACACTAATCACCAGAATTCTTGTGTTTGGTGGGGAGGGTTGTGATTATAAGTGTAATTTTCTTCTGTCACACCCCATAAAAGTCTTCAATTGAATGAAAGAACATTCAGGAATAGGAAGTAGATTAGTCACAATGAACCCACATCTCTCTTGAAAATTAAGAGAACTAAATCTTCCTAGAAATACAGATTTTATTTAACATACCCAGTTTTAAGAGATAACCCACCACTCCTTCAAATATAAGGAAGCATGTTTCTCAGGTAACAGGAGGCACCTGAACTACAATCAGCCAACTGAAATACACAGGGGCCTGTCTCACCCAAACAAACTCAAGCCAATCAGAGGAAGTCAAAAGCAGTCCAGTCCCACTGGTTAATTGTCCAGATTAATTCATTTTACATTTTCACTCCCAGACTCATGGACATTTTATGAGAAATCCACATAATTTCTCCAGAAATAATCTCCATTCACTGGTACATTTTTATAGTTCTTTTTACCTCCCCCGTCCTTGCTAGATCTTAAAGACTGGATCATTACAACCCATAACAATTACTTTTATGAACATTAGCAACTTGACAGTGGAAAAAATGTAGACACAAAATAAAGCCCCAAAAATCCTGTGAGATACCATTAAACTTTTAAATATCAGACTATACCCTTAAGACCTGTTTTAAAACAAAGGGGATAGGCAAGAAAAGGCTTTTTTTTTAACTTTAATAGTACTAAACTCAGTAGTCTGAATTATACTCTGATATCCAACAACTCAGTTCTAGGAAATTTCTGTAAATTAAAAACATCTGGATTAAGCACCGCTCTACTGGTTATCTCTAGAGATAATTAAATAAGAGTGTATATAGCCAAACTACATGTCCTAGAGAGAGCAAAACAAACAACACATACAACCTCATTTAACCTGGTAATTCATTATGATGAAACTAGCAACAATGTACCTTGCTAGACTCCTGAATTATAAAAAAAAAAAAAAAAAAAGGTACTGGTTTAGGTTTTCCTTTTCCATAAATTACCCGACAGCCCATAAAAGAATGATAATTTTGAATCTTATTAATACCACCTTTTCTTATTAGCAGATATTAATATAAACTTATCAATTAAAATAAGTTTTACAAAATTACAGTAAGAAATTTCCACTCACTCAGAAATATTCTTTTCTCATTACTCAGATGTATATGCACAAACATTTGTGCAATTTGTTACCAAATAAACACATTAATAATTAACACATACTAAAAATTAAATCAATGATAAGTATAGTCAAGTCTAATCTCTGAAATAGTAAGAATTAAGTTGCCCTCTTATCGCAGCAGGCAGCGTGTCAGTCTCATAAAATAGTAAGAATTATAATCCAGCTCCCTAAACCTCGGGATGAGAACCATGCTTCTGTCAAGTTTCCCCAATAAACTCATTCACTGAAATAGAGGTAAAAATCTCATTGAAGCAAATGTCACTAGAAAGATGCGTTTTTACATGTGTATTCTATCTTCCTGTCTCAATTAGGATTTAAGGTACAGAGACTTTGATTTATTCCCATCATATAATAGGAACAGGTATTTCTCTGATCCTCTTCTAGCCTGTCTCAACTGGGGTTCCTCATCTGAACCACTGACCATAGGTTATTCAAGTTTTCTCTAGTTTTCCAAGAATCCTAAATGCAGAGAAAAAGTTAATTGCATACAATAGATGCCTCAGGACATTACAGTTCAATTCCCTACAAAGACATAGTTAAGAAAGAAAGCCACAATTTCCTCAGTGTCACTGTTCTGCTATTAGGCCCCAATTACCCTAACCACAAAAGTACTAAAAGAACTGTAAAAATCTAAGAACCTAGATAAGAAAAGAGATAAATGCTTTACCTCTCTAACTTGCAGCAACCAGGTCTTTTTCATTTGCTAATTTACTATAAATTAATGGCATCTGTTCTCTGCTCTGAATAAAATGTACTTAAAGAAAATAAACCCACACAGATAATATTGACTCTTTGTTAAAGGATATCAGCCCTTAAAAAGAAAAAACAAAACAAAAACCAAAACACAGCAATCAGTATACTACTAAACTTAATTTAACAAGCCTTTTTCCTATGTATCCTTCTTTAGCAAGCTTTCAATATATATCTTTTGATGATCATAATTGCTAAATGCAAATTTTCATTTAAAAAAAAAAACATTTTTAAAAACCAGCTTCTCTTTTATTACAGCACTAATCTCCCATTCTCAAGAAACTATATTTTGTTATTCCTCAATGTGGCTGGTGACTACAGTACTTTCAACAGTGTTAATCACAATCAAATCACAGGAAGAAAAACACTAGTTCTTTTTCTCAAAAACCAGATGTTTTTTAACTGTCCCAATTTTAGGAAACGTTAATATTTCTATTTACACAATAAAATGACTTCAAAAAAAGTATTTAAAATGCGGTAAAGAGTTATTCTATAGTGAATGTGCAAAGTAGCATTAAAAAGATGGAAAACACTAAACATGACATTCCCTTTTTTAATTTATGTTAATGTGAAGGCTGACAGTACAGATCATCAGCAGATAAATTACATTATTGAACATACCACTTTACCAACTCTCTCCTCAAATTTCTCTTTTATAAACATACGAGTAAAAGGGACACAAAAATGGAGGGGATGGGGTGTGCACTGTTTATCAGTGCTCAATTGTGAATGTATGTTATATCAGGATACAGAATACAATGATATGGAAAATGTTTATCGTCTACAGTCAGTATCTCTAACCAGATTTAACTTCTACCCTCCTCCATGAACTGGGAAGAGAGGGGAGTTTTAATTCATTTATCTTAACTGTTCTGACGTGGAGGAGATCACCATAAAACATAATTAAAGAGGTCGAATTCATTTTCCTCAAATCAAGTACATCCTTCCTTCTGTTTGTTTCTACATAAAAACACTTCATTTTGCTACTAAAAATTTCCATTCCTCACAAGTGATGTTTCCTGAACTCAAGTCAACACCGTTTCGCAAAAGCACCCAGGCTTTCAACTGCACCTTGGCGGCAGAGTTGTGATCATTACTAATTCCTCTCCTTTCACTATTCACAATTTTTTCAACGCTGTCCCGATTAAGCAGGACTCACATTAACCACTATCTAAAGTAGCAGTTTACTGGGGTTAAAAAAACACAATTTCTATGAACACATTCATCCAATGAAAGTGTGCATCGTAGAAGGGACTATTTGCACAGACTTAAGAACTACAGTTTTAAATGAACCATCATCCAAAGGAGATGATTCCCTTCGTTTCCCAATACTGGTGTTTATTGGAGACCCTCTGACTTTTGGCCTTTAAAAACTGCTCACCAGTCGAGTCCCAAGATACAACTACATTTAGCAACGGTCTTCTGACTTCCTGATACGAAAAACCACAAGCACCGGGGCTGCTGCGTCAGTTTGTTTTAAAACAGTATTTGCTCCTTTCCCCTCTCGGGGAAAACAGGGCTTCCCGTCCTGGGGAGCGCTAAGAGGTAAGGGGCACACGTCTGAAAACAAACACGAGGGTCCGGCCGGAGCGGCGTCCCTGGGGTTAAGTGGCGATTTTCCTCGCCGGAGGGGGCCCGGGCCGGCAGTGCGGCCAAGCCCCGGCGCCCAGGCTGAAGGAGAAAAGGAGAAGGGTAAAAATAAACGCAGCCGCGGCCCACGTGCCGCCCGCGGGCGCCGGGGAGCCGGGGGCCGTACCTCCAAACAAGTGCGGCGAGAGGTGAGCTGGTAAGGAGCCGATGACCAGGCGCGGCCCGCCCGGGCCCCCGCCCGCCGGCCGGTCCCTGCCGCCGCCGCCGCCGCCGCTCCCGCCGTCCTCCGGGCTGCTGTGCACCGAGTCCTGAGAGCCGTACTGGCCGCTGCTGCTGTTGGGGATGCTGAAGGAGGACTGCGCGGCGCGGGCCCCCGACGCCACAGTCCCCACGGCCCCTCCGAGAGAGCGGCTGCGCGGGGCCGCTGAGGCCGCCGCGGCGCCGCCCGAGGCGCTAGGCTGGTGCGCGCCGGGCACCTGAGCCGGAAACCTCCCGGCGGCCGCAGCCCGCGTCCCGCCGCCGCCCGCGGTCCCATTGGCCCCTCCACTGCTGCTGGAAGGTAGATCCGAGCCCGAGTACGCGCGGGTGCGGCCGTTAGCCGCGGCCGGGCCGCTCTGCTTGGCGCCCATGTCCGCCCTGCCCCGGGCCGGGCCCGCGCGCAGCGCCCGGAGCGCCGGGAGGGCGGGAGCGAGCGCGGGAGCGAGAGGGCAGGGCCGAGGCGCCGCGGCCGGCCCACAGGGAAGCCCGCACGTCCAGGGCCGCCTGCCGGCGCCCCGCGGGGCGGTCAGCGCCCGGCGCGCTCTTCTGGGGCGGCGGGCGCGGGGGAGTGGAGGGGCGGAAAGGAAGGAGGTCCGGGCTCCGGCGGGCGCCGCTCGCTCGCTCGCTCGCTCCGGCGGGAAGGGCGGCTCAGGTGGCTGTGCGGCCGCCGCTGGTTTCGGTTCTGCTGCGCCGCGACGGGCTGCTGCCGCTCTCTGCCGCCACCGCCGTGCTCTGCGCCCCCGGTCTCGGCACCGCCTCCTCCCGGGCGGCCGCTGCTACCGCCGCCATCCTCCTGCTCGCACGGCGGCTCACGGGTGAGTGGGAGGCGCCCCCCCAGACTCCGCCGAGGCCACCTTCCCTCCTCCCCCAGCCACCCAGCTGTTGTTAACGGAGAAAGAGGAAAAACGGTGGCGCGTGAGGGGAGGATAGAGGAGAGGAGGGAAGAACAGCGCGCGCTTCCGGGCAACCGCCGCGCTGCCCCCGCGAAGGAGGGGCGGGGGGCGGCCTGGCTCACGGAGGTTGGGGGTGCCCAGGAGGGGAGGAGGTTGCCGGGCCCTGGCACCGGAAGGCCGAGGAGCTGAGCGGCTCCAGAGTGTGCCCGGGCTCCAGTGTTTGGGTCGCGCGCGGCAACCCCGCCCCCTCGTGCCGCCCTGCGGATTGGCTCGAGCCGGTCTAGCCCCGCCTCCCCCGGCCACGGCCTTCCCGCCCCGGTCCCGCCTTGACAAGGTACCGCGGTGGTAGGTGCTGCCTCCCGAGGACTCGGTGATGGACAGGTCGCTGGCCCGCCCTCCCCCAGGACGCGCCCCCTCCTCCACCACGGAGCCCACGCCGATTGGAGGGACTTAGCCCCTCGGGGCACCAACCAGAAGGCGGCCCCTCCTCCCGCACGTGGCCATTCGACGCAGTGTGTCCCTTTCACCTTTTCCCGGCTGGAAATGCTATAACCTGTATCCCTAGCCGAGCAATTTGGGTGGGTGTTAAATTCCTTGTTAATTTTATTAAATGAGTGTGTCTTTTATATGAAATAGAAGCTCAGCAATGCTGACGATAAAAAACTGAGAGCAGTGAAAACAAAAGAACCAAGAAGGTAGCAGAAGCCAACTTGATCTGAATTAGCCCTATCCGATCAAACACTCCAACCTTGAAGAAGAGCAGAGTTGGAACAACTAAGAATAACCCAGCCTGACTTTCAGTTGCAGGTCAAAAACTGTGGTGCAGAGAAAGCTGCACCCGATTTAGGAGACCTGGGGGACCAAAACTAAATTACTGCAGTGAGCAAATTATTTAACCTTTTTTTTTTTTTTTTTAACTTTAGTGTCCTTCCTGGGACGTTTGTATTAAATCCCTGGGGTACTTGCAGCTTTAAAATCCGATAATTTCTCTAAAATGGATTTATTAAAATTACCAGCCCATTCCTGTGACGTAGTATCTTGGTAGCAAAGCATGGTCTGTATGTCCAGGGGCCAGCCTGCTCTGACCTTCCCATTCTGAAAATGCCTAATGTGTTCCCTATGTGAAAGTAATAGCAACTGGTGTTTTTTGTACAAACTACAGAAATAAATACTTTGTCTTTTTTTTCTATATTTGTAATGTCATTTATGTATGATTTTCATAACTCTTTGAACTATGAGAATCGAGTTTTTAAACAGAAGTGAAGAATATATGTATAGAAATAGATATACAGGGGTGGGAAAAATAGGCGTACTGTTATTTGGTATGGAAAATAATACAATAATTAATAAATAGTAAAACAAGAATAAACTTTTATGTACTCACAACTGTAAACCTACTTTTGCCCATACTTTTGCCCATCCCTGTATATACATTGTGTATATGTGTGTAAATATAAGATATACTTGTAAATACATATATATCCGAGAATGGAAATACAAAGCAATCAATGCAAATCTAAAATACTTACATCCTGTGTATGAGCTTACTTAAACCAGAAAAAGGTTAGAAACCCCAAAGTGGTTAGCTACATGACAAGTTCGAATTCAAGAAGGTATTTAGTGATTTGATTTGATTTGATTTACCTTTTAGTGAATGAGGCCTTAAACTCTGGTCCAGCAGGAAATTGTTACCAATAGCCTATAGGTATCTTGAGTAAATGAATGGTGAGAAGACCATTTACAGGCTGAACGTTGGAGACAAGGGATGAAAACTGGATTTGTAATGATCATTCGTTCAGCTCATAAAAGTGTGTTTTGTGTTAACTCAGTGCCAGGCACAGGGCATGCTAAGCTACATAGAGGAAACAAACCCCTCAAACTCAGGGCCGTGATGCCACGAAAGCACATTGTAAGATCCTTTGGTACACCTCATCTATCTCTAAGTGGTTCCCCAGGCAATCCTGGGTGTCTCTTCTCCAAATGGAGACTCAGGGACCCAGGCTCTTACCTTGTGGCTAAGCAGGCCCCTGGGCCTCTCAGAGTCCTTCACTTGATCCTTTGCACCTGGCTGGCCAAAGAAAAAAAGGAAGGTATTGAAAGAAGATTTGGCTAAGCCTGGAAGGATTTGCATCCCTCCTGCCCACTATCCGTGTTGGCAGAAATCACTCATATGGTCTAACTAACTGCAAAGGGGTCAGGAAATGTGGTTTTATGTGTGTTCCCAGGAAGAAAAGGAAATGATTTTGGCAAGCACATAGCAAGCATGACTTTGCCACACACAAGAACTGTTGTCTGACAAATACCTAAGTGAAATATTAAATTTTAGGAAAACATTTTACAATAAAAATTATGTGAAAATTTTCCAATGAGCCCTGGCTGGTTTGGCTTAGCGGTTAGAGCATCAGCCTGTGGTTCAGAGAGACCTGGGTTCGGTGCCCGCTAAAGGCGTGTACCTTGCTTGCAGTTTGTCCCCGGCCCTGGATAGGTCATGCAGGTGGCAACCACTCGATGTGTCCCTTTCACGTCGATGTTTCTCTCTTCCTCTCTCTCCCTCCCACTCTATCTGAACAAAAAATGGAAAAATGTCCTCGGGTGAGGATAAAAATAAATAAAATAAAATTTTCTAATGAGAATTAAGCCAGCAAAATGTAGTTGTAAAAAACTGATTTGTGTGTGTGAGAATGGATCAGCTAAATTCCATTTGCTTTAAATTGTGTTTCTAGAAACACCATCTAGCACAACTCTTTTTTTTTTTTTTTATCCTCACCCGAGGACATTTTTCTATTTTTTGTTCAGGTAGAGTAGGAGGGAGAGAGAGAGGGAGGGAGAGAGAGAGAGAGAGAGAGAGAGAGAGAGAGAGAGAGAGAGAGAGACATTGATGTGAAAGGGACACATCGAGTGGCTGCCACCCGCACAACCAACCAGGGCCAGGGACAAACTGCAACCGAGGTACATGCCCTTAGCGGGAACCGAACCCGGGTCTCAGGACCGCAGGCCGACGCTCTAACCGCTGAGCCAAACTGGCCAGGGCTCTTCTTTCTTTCTTTCTTTCTTTCTTTCTTTCTTTCTTTCTTTCTTTCTTTCTTTTTTTAGCACAACTCTTAATTCAGACATTTAGATTAGTGATACTCAAAGTGTGGTCCCCAAATCATCAGCATCTGTATTGCAAAGGAACTTGTCAGAAAGGTAGATTTTCCAGCCCCACCCTACGCACACTGAAGCAACAGTGCTTAAACAAGCCCTCTAAGAGATTCTGATGCATGCTAATGTTTGGGAACTCCTGATCTACATAATCACTGATTTGTTTCAAGATAGAATATCATGTTAAGACGTGGTCATTATTTTTATTAAATGCCATCTTCCTGTGGATGTCCTCTGTCACCCCACTCCCAACCCATTGTCACAGACTGTCTTCAGTATTCCCACTCAGTGCTGTGCTAATACTTCCTTTACAGCACTGATCATGTTATTATTATTACTGATCTTGCCTCTCACTAAATAATCGGGTCCATAACAGGCCTCACATCTTTACCCCCAGCACCTACCACAGTGCCTGGCACCTGTGACAGTGTAATGAATGATCTGTGAGTGAATGAATATTTCTACTTAAATAATTGTTTCTTGACCTTATCTTGTCCTTACCCTCCTTGACATCCCTCCTGTGGTAGATGCCCCTTCCAGTTTCTCTTTGGGTAAGCCTTTTTGTTTTTTCCCCATGAAGATTCTGAAGTTATGCAACTTTGGCCTGCAAGGTTCTTTCCTTGGCCCTTTTCCTTCGCTCCTCAATCTCCCTCCAAACAGGAATCCACATTAAGCTGTCAATATGTTGTACTGTTGATCAAACAGTTCTGACTTCATTTAAAATTTGTATCTTCTTTATTACGCCATACTAGTTCTTCAAAAATTAAAAGTGCTGCTTCTCCCAAATCAGTACATACAGGTGTACACACACATACACACTGAAACAGGTTTTATGAGATTGTGGCCATGTTTCATGGGATGCTCTCCTTCTTCCATTCCACTTCACTTTTGTGAAATGCTGGTCACTGCCTACTGGATTGATTTTTTGCAGTTCGACAGTTTAAATCAGTGCTTTGCAAACTTTAGTGCCCAAACGAATCATAGGGAAACTTTGTTAAAAACAAACTTCTGGGCCCCACCCTCAATGATCCTCATTCGGTAGATCAGTGTTGGGCCTTGAGAATTTGCATTCTTACAAGCAGCCCAAGGAGGCCAAGGTCACCAGGCCTCAGGCCACACTTGGAGAAGTGCTGGACTAAATGATACTTTCCTGTACATAAACAGAACTACTGTTTTGATATCTCGGTCACTCTTCAAGAAACCAGAGCCCCAGCTCTTTAAAATCCCTAATATTTGAAGTTTTATTATATGCTCTATTTTTCTTCCTCTTCCCATGGTTCAATGATATTTTGACCAATGACTTTTGGGGTACAAAATTAGATGGTATTGTCAAAGCA